AAACGAAAGGGGTTCCTGGGTAGTAATTAAATACAGGCAGGGACTCTGTGCTGAAGCAACACTGCCAGCCCATGATTGACAAACCTCCTTAATGCGTACGTGAGGAGAACAACAAGGATCCTCGACTGTCCTCAATATTGGATGAGACGAGAACGAGGCCTGATTACTCAGAAGCCGCTCAACCAATCTGGTACTCCCAAGAACCGCTTACCTACGGATAGCCCAGCTTCTTCTCCGCTTCGGCTTGCCTCAGCTTCCAAGATCCTACGCTAAAACAGACAGTCAAAAATGTTTGTCCTTTTCAGGTTCAGGGTGTCTGGTTGTATGAGAGCTAAGGTTGGGCTTCCCCTTGGAGAGCGGGCGAGCGAGGTCATGCAACAGTTGGTGCTTTGCGAGTCATGCTGCAGTACTTGAGGCCTGCTTCACAGACGCGGTAAAGGCTGACCTAGACCCAACCCTTCAACAGCTCGCTCTAGTCGATGCTCTGAATCTGGCGTTCAGGCAACATCCCAGTCCAAACCCGAGGACCATCCGTAATCGATGAATCCATGATCTGGGGATCAGAGGCTGTAACGCTCGAACTCCTTGATTGGACCGTAAATGTGTTGACGCGGGATTGGCTTTGAAAACCTCTTCGGATGATGAAATGACAAGCCACATGTCCAAAGACTTCACTGGCTAATGATCTGCTCCTTGAGGCAGGGTTTAGGACTTCGAGCCGATTGGGGCCCTTTGATGCTGGGACCTGGACATTGAGAAAATTTAGGCCATCTACACCTCACCCCACCTGCCCACAGCCACGCCTGGTAGGAAACTGCCGTATGCATTTAACAACTCTCGGACTGAGGAGCATAATTGCCGCTTCGCGGAGTCGCTTCTGTCCTGGTGATTACAGTTTGAAGTTGTGTGAAGCTGTCATCGGGACTTTACTCTGGGTTGAAGGTTGATGTTAAAATTTGATTTAACCATCTGGGGGTGCAGTCTGAGGCCAAAGAAACATGTAAAGACTGTTAGGCCAGAGAAATCCCTCTCTGGGGGCTGGCCCCTCTGGAACCACAAAGATCTTTGGGCTCACAAAGCAGGACTTTGCCTCCCTTCACAAACCCGAGCGGCCCTTGTCATTTTCCCTGCATCCTGACTCGAAAAGCCTCGAGGTGCCTTGTTTGAATGGTCTTTTGGCACTGGCAGCTCTCAAAAACCTGCAAGGCGAACCCTAAACCTGCACGGATGAACCCGAACTCCCAAACTACTACGACGATTTTTTGTCCCCTATGAGGGGACGATATTGCTTTGTACAGGCTTCTGATTACACCCAGACCCTACACATTCAGGCCCGGTTCGGTTAATCTCGTTCATGGCGTCCATGACAGACTGGTGAAGGCGGATCCTTGGATCCCCAATGGTTACCATGCACGGAGAATGGGTTTACCATGGTGGTTTGAGCTTGTAAGACCTGGGGGGATGGGTTTATGAGTAATATAGTTGTTGATTGTTTGGGGCTTAGGGGTGCATACACATACTCTGTGCTGTGAGAATTGTGCATACGTGAGTCCTGTGAAGCATGAAAACACATGTAAAAGCCCATTGGCGACATGAAGATGGCATAGATAACAATTGTAGGGTGAAGGGCCACTCCACAAATGAGAAGCCCCTGACCTTTAGAATATGCTTCGAAGATTCTTCGTGCATACCCTTCCATGCATCATAGACTTACACAATCAAACCACGATGACAGTATGTAGCGTAACCCACTTCCTCTATCGCATGCTGTTAAGCAGTAGTACAGACTCGAAACTGGATTATGGCCTTCTCATCCAGCTGCGAAGAGCATATGCAAGCTTCAGCACATAGAATCTGGATAGTTTCTGGTTGTGCAAAAGGACGGCATTCCTTTTGCAAACCACCCAATGCCAGATTCGTGAGCGCAAGACATATTTGAGCCTTCCAACGACGTGCTTCAAACTGCGAAAATCACTGGACGTGCAAATTTCCCAGAAGGAAGGCATGCCTGAACACTCCTGGACTCTGTCGCAGCCTGTTTCTTGTCACTCACGTCAAGATAAGTAATGAGAGACTGCTTCCAGAAACATGTTTCTCTACCTTTTGACGCCTTGTAAGCAAAAAGCTGAACACTGAACATACATTCTAGCCTAGGTAGACTGTGAAAACGTTCGCCACACATCTCAGGAAGGTTGAAGATCCGTATCTCTGCTGAAAAACCGGTACCTGGCATTGCCCTGGCTGAGAAGAATCCCAGAACAGGTAAGGATAAGTGGAACACCAACTCCAAAACGGTCATCATGCAGCACACCAGTTACAATAGTTCATCTCTTCCCAAAAGTGCGCTGAGGATGAAGCACCCACCCGGGAGCATTGCAGAAGGGCTTGGAGGTGACGCCAACATGAAGAACAAGTCGAACACGAATCCCTTTTTCTGAAACTGCAAGCTGGAGGCTGCGTGGTTAGGACATTGCTGATGATGAAGCCATAGGGGGCCATCGCTGTGGTAAGCCTTGGGCTTTATCTGGATTGTTTGGCCTTTTGCCTTTTGACTGAAACTAGGGTCAGGCTCGAGGGTCAAGATCAAGTTTAGTGCGGCTTAGAGCTGAAGTGGGCTGCTGTGTCAGAGCGAACAGCAAGAAGAAGACACTCACAACCACACATTACACATCAGAGATTGCCCTCTGATCTTTGTCACTGGCTAACAGGCGCATGATTTATCAGGTTTGAGGGCTCTCAGGGGCTATGGTCCTAAGGATAAAGTATGACCCACCTTATGCAAGTTCAGGATTTAGAGCGTGAAGCTGTATGTTGGACCAGCTGACACACAGAACCACCTCAAAACAAATAGGCGCATTTGCAAAGAACTCTATCGGTCATTCTTCAATAGGACACAACCAGTTCCATGCATAGTCTGCGTAGAGGCCCTACAAAAACCTAGCTCCTCAGTATCCCTCAGGAGCGATTCCTCAAAAACACTTGACCAAAAAAAAGCAGTAAATACGTGGTTTTTTCCAAAAACATCTTTGAAGATCTCTGCACCCATCCTGGTCTCAGCGGAGTTCTGTGACCACAAACCTCGAAAGCCTGAACCTCCTTCTCCCAAAGGTGGCAAGCCGGAGACTGTAGACTCTTCTGTGACATACCTGACCGCCAAACCGATAACCTTGCACCTTGAATGCACGACCCTCTGACACCCATCTTCCAAGGGAGTTCACCCAAACGGGCCGGGTAGCTGTTCGCTGATGGCTGCTGAAAGGGAATCCTGCTGTATGGACACGACAGGTGCAAGGCTCAGGTGTAGAGCTTCATTACCATCATGGCAACGGTGTGCAGATCCACCGAGTCGTTTAAGAAATCGAATTTGTGAAAGCCATTTTACAGAGGACTCGTTTGAGAAAGATGCGACCAAATCGCTTGGGAGTCCTGGATGCAGGCATAGCCGCGGGTAGCTTCAACATGGTGGCGAAACATGCTTGCACAACGCCTGATGCACTGGCACATGTGGATGCTCTTCGCAGTCTTTCCTCTGGCATGTTGTTTCCATTTACTACTCGTAAATTCGTCCGTATGGGACCTGGACTGCAGTCGCAGAGGCAATACTTGAGCTTTTGGAGCTACTGTATCAAAACAATCCGAAACAGCTACGCCAGCTATTTAGGTATACATATATATATATATACATTGGGCCTATGTTGGGGTTATACCGGGTGCTATGTAGGAATAGTGGAAAAGAAAATGGAAGCTACTATAGTATATCCCTAAATTATCCCTATATAACCCCTACATGTACTGTTGACTCTGATGTCATTCCCCTTAGCTTCTCCAAATCTAAGCTGACTTTAATCTCTGACGGGAAGACTTGCACCCGCAAAGCTTCTTTGCACTCATCATACTGCACACAGCAGGAATTAGAGCAACGGCCTGCCAAGGTCTTCTAGCCGATTCACACAGCTCATTATCATCCAGCCCTATGGCAAAAGCTGTAAGATGCAAGCGCCTCAACAGTGGAAAGCTGTTTTTGATGACATCCCGGATCTATCCTTGGCTTCGAAAACATGGTCGATGTCCAGCGTTGGTACCTCCGAAGGAAGGCCGTTGAGGTTTAGGAAAACCACTTCGAGACGTTTGCCAAGAGCTGCATCGTAGCTTCTAGGCTTCTAGAGGTTTCTACTTTGGTATTCCAAACAGTCAGGTTTAGTGAGGAGGGTAGGAAAACTTTCCCACAGGGAAGAGCTTCTTCAGGATTGTGTAGAGCCCTGGCGCGTCTGATCTGCAGAATATGAGACATTCTGCTGAATGCTAGTGAAACCCAGAAGCGGAGTTGCTACTTCCCATGACAACCGAAACTTCTACCCAAAATATGCTCGAAGCCTATCCATGGAGCGCCTCCAAGTTCAAGAGTTTCCCACAGGTTGATGACCAATGCCAGAACTAATGCTGATGCTGATGGAGGCACTAAAAGCTAGTACTACTGCTGTCAATATGAAGAATCAGTTTAACACTGACCACCCCAAAGCAATGTCACAATTCAGGATCTTGTCTACTTGTTTGGGTCCAACCCTAACCCCAGACTCCGAGCCCAAACTGCGAACCTGGTGACCCTACGCGCTAAACCCCACTTCCCATGCGGCACCCTGCTACGGACGATGTCGGCTACGTGGGCATCGATCTGCTCTGTGACCTGGGCAGAAGCGCGAGGATATCCACTATGTCGTTTCGTGCCGGTGCTCAGAGTTTTGAAGAAGGATTCTAGTCAGGATACCGTGGCCCGTGATTGAAATGCTCCCCAACTCTAACAAAAAGGCACATCATGCACGCGACCCTCTTCGCTGAGGATCCTAGACCCTAAGACCTGAAACCATGGGCCCTGAACCCCAGCGTCCTAAACGCTGTATGTCCAGGGATGGCATTCCTCTTTTGTGCAAGGGAGACACAAGGCAGTCGCAAACCGTGACCTCCAAACCTACCGATGGAGACTTGAATGCTGCGGAAGTGGCGTTCGCCAGCTTGTAGATCCTGGGCTTGAGGTCTTCATGAGGAAGCCCTGTTGATCTTCTTAGCCCAAGAAAAGCTCTCAACTGCGCTATCTATGCCAGTTAGAGTCCCATTGTATGCCTCTAACTCTAACAAGTTGGGGTCCTTATCCTGGAACCTGCACAGACGTGCCCATGCTTGTGGAACAATGCCTGGCGGTGCGAGGCCTATCCTTGGAAAGCACCCTGCAACGACACCCCAGACCATAAGGTCATGCTGCGAAGGGAGTTGTGTCAAAAAGCGACCGCCTCCGATTCCTGACATACGGAGCCTATATAGGGGATTAGAGGGGTCACCTGTAACCATCATCAAAGGCTCGGGATCCGCTGCGAAATCCCATGCATCCAATTTTGCTTTGCAGTCAAGGCTTCGCATCTTCGCAAGACTGCGGGTTGACTGAAAACTGCACCGAGATATGCACGCTGCAGAAGACGTTGTCCTTGCAGCGCGAGCTTCTTGCTAATCCGCACACCTAAGCCAAATACTAGAATGGTGAATAGCAAGAGTCTTGATCAGACAAAGCAGAATATAGAAAGCAAGAGAACATTATCATGAACCTGTTTTGCTCCAAAACCTTCGCACTCCCCTGGGTCCTTGGACTTCGTTGTGACCTTGCATTCCAGCTGCTGCGTGCGGCTTGAAATGGAGCGGAGGGCGACGCAGAGGCCACAGGCGTCACCTGCTCGTTGTCTAAACAGAACTCAGGGGCAGATCAAAAGTTATGGCCTTTTGAGTATTTTATTTTGTTTCAGAACCTCTAGTTTGGGGCAAGGGGTCAAGTCTGGAGTGCTTATACGGGCTTCGAGTCGGCACATACCCGTTTGAACCCCATGGGTGTTTAGGGCTCACTTCCATAGATGAGGGCTCTGAGGAAACATTAGCCAGGCACCCTTGTGCAACAACCGGCACTTTCTACTACCATTATTACGAAATTGCTAATACGTTTTGTTTCTTCTCACTACTGTTATTTCTTGATTATAACTAACTACTCATCAGTGTAGCTTGTTTCTTTGCAGCAAGGATCCACATCCAGTTTTTGAAGCCCAAGGCACCGGATTCCCAAAGAGATCATTGGGATCTCCGAACTGGCCGCCCAATGTACCCTAAATACAAAGGCCCCTAACGTTGCCTTTTTGGGCTTTCAAGTTTCATTTGCTGTGCAGGTAGCGGCCAGCGAGTCAAGGGTATCCGCCACTAATGATCATGCCCCCTCAAGAAGCTCAATTCAGACGAAGGAGGTTCTGTTAGGTGTTGAGGCTGTGGATTTGAGGCCTCGTGTTTGGACAGCGCAAACTTTTGCATTCTTGAATTTTGGGATCGGTTCTTATGCGGCAGGACCAGCTTCTGCTGGGCTGTCGAAGATGCGCGACATGTTTTTAAATTGCTTGGGAGCGTCTACTACTGAAAGAAAACCTACGTGTTCCACGTTCCAACCATGAATCCTCCACCTGAAGAGTTGCGGTTAGTTCAACAGCACAACAGCATCTGAAGCCAGAAAACAACTAGGATACCCCTTCATGCTAGTCAAGAACTGTTGAAAAGTACCGACTTCGCATACACCCTCATCTTGCAGCGCATAAAGCCGGCAGGTCGCATCCTGTCCAGTTGAGACCGGGCCGCAACGTCTGCGTGTAGCCTGCAACTACTGCTATTAGATTGCCGGCATTGTAATGCCCAACAGAAGCACTGTCAGCAAAGATAAAAACAACGAACGAAGCAGCAGCAAGCTTGCATGAGGCGAGCAGCTCCCAAAGTACTCAACGGCAACATAGCGGTCCTGCGGCACCAGGTCACATGGGGGACATAATGTTTGGGCTTACCCTTCGAACAGTAAAGTCCCCCTACTAGGTTGGGTTGTGAAGGGGTTCGCCCGGTCGGACACGTGAGTGGCAATGTGTCGGGAGGAACCGGTACAAGGTATTAAGGTTTTCTCTCGAGAATGCAGGAGCATGCATAGAGATATGCGTGTTACCGTCTTGACAGGGCCCGATCTTCTCAAGCACAAACAGGTCCATGCAGTTTGTTCAGGGCTTGGTGGCTTAAGACCTTGTGGGGCTCTTTTGAGCATGTTCGAGAAGAGCTTGGAACACAATGTAAAAAGAGTGCTATGCATCATTCTTCACACACAGAAGCCTGCATATCAGCTCCCGATCCCACAAATGAAGCTGCTCCTGAGCCCTGAAAGCCTGACTTTCACCCATAGGCATTCTGTTCTGTTCGATTGGGTGACCTTTAAGGTTCCCTACCTTTTAAGGTCGATGGAAAATCGTTCCCTCTTGTCAGCTGCTACATTCCAAAAAACAAATCTGAACCCAGTAGTCCTGAGGAACGGTCACGAGACCTCAGCAACCACCGACTGCACCCCCAACAGGTGAAGCTAGAGCTGGCCAACTTTCCCCTACAGCCCTACAGCCTCTTGGACACTTAATTTGCCCGGCAGTTGAGAGCCTGGGTCATTAGCTTACCTGGTTACAACAGGCCTGGTGGCAGCCCTTTCTTCAAGCTGTTAAAGTTCCCCGCTCAAGCTTATGCAGAAAAGACAGAATTCCTGAAAGCCAGGATAAATGCATTGCTCCAAAAACCTGCTCGTAGTTAATACATGTACAGGTATACCTATGCACCTATACTAAATGCAGCATGTGGCTATTCGAGATACGGATCCGGAGCTTCTCTTTTTTGGAGTGTTGCTCAGCGATTAGGATTCTCAATTTCAGGCGTTCATGATGAAGCTTTCAAGCTTAAAGTTTCTGGTAAGTGGTATTGTTCGGTCATATTAAACTGACATTGTGCCTCCTGACATGTCAGAAGTGCAAAGGCCCATGGCATCTCTCCTCGCGGCTCTCGGCTGAATCTCCTTTTGGCGGAAACTTGTCCCACTTGCGTTTGCATGCCACAGCTCTTTATCTCCAAGCCACGTCATCCAAACCTTGACCGCCACCAAAACTACTACATTCGTCAACGCAGCTTCCTTCTTCTCCTCTGACCTGCACTCCCTGCACCCCACAGCGCTCATATTCCATCGAAAACTTAGTACGCAACAGAAAACGGCTGGTTCATTGAAGCCGAGATCCTGAACCCCAAGAACATAGAAGAAAACCCAATGCCCCCAACAAAATCCCAAGACCCTCAACCTTCAGTATTCAGTCTCCAAAACTGGAGCCAGAAACCCCCAAAGCCTTCAATGCTGTACCCTCAACACCAATTCCCTGAGCCGCCCGGCAGTTGAAGCAGGGTAGACATCCCCTCTCTTCCCGCAGGTCTCCCATGGCTCTACTTAGAGACCCAGGAAAACCTGCTTCGTAGCTGAGAATTTTGGATAGGGGAGCTTCCTCTGGAGTATTGATATTCTGCCTAAAAGTAATGAATGGGGCGCAGGATCAGCTGTCCATCCCAATGGCTCTTGCTCCGGACCTCCAAGCAAGGCGGAGCAAAAGGTTCAAAAACAACGGAGTTGGATGCCTCTTGTTGAACTTAAGCTTTAGGATTTAGGGTTGGGGATGTAAATAGTAAAGACTCAGGAAGAATGGCTTGGAGCTTGAGAATGCTGGGCTGAGATACGTTGAGTATTGCAAGGCACACGCAAACACCTTGCTTGTTCAGCTTTGAGCAAAAAAGCGACGGCGAATGTTTGTCTGGGCTTCACCTTAAAATTTGCAAGCACCAAATCTAAAGCTCAAACGCAATGCTTCACAGCCTTGCGAAGGCACGGGGTCAAGGCTTTCGGTCGGGGAGGTGGCCAAGCAGCAGCTAAACCAGATGGATCGACTATTGAAGCTTTATCACCCCGTATGCTGCTTCGGCACTGGATCGAGACGAGGGGCGCACAAAGGTACACTTCTGGTGACCATTCCCAGGGTTATTGTGCAGGGTTTCATGTTTTGGGGGGATGGTAATACCACTGCGCATGGTCCTGAGGGCTTTGACTGGGAGAACTATGCTAAGCTGCGAACTTTCTTTGCGTGCAACCTGAATCAGTGAGCAACGCCCAAATATTCCATAAGGTTATCAACTTCCTTTTCCTGGCCATTAATTTGATGAAGAAACCTTCCCACTCAAGACCACAACCCAAAACCCGACACAAAAGTCCTCTGGACTATCACGTCATGTTTAGGGTCTTGTCTTGAACCCGAATCCAGGCTTGCACTATCCTGGCTAGTGCACGGAAACAAGTCCTCGAGGGGACTTCGTAACAGCTCCGGGGGCAGGAAATCATCTACCTGCCATTTAAAAGCTGCCATGATGGCTTTCTGAGGAAGCAACAACTGGCAATGTTTTGGTTGGTGGTAAGATCCTTGGTTAGAATCGCGTTCAACCCTCAATGCTAAACATTCTGCTGGCTGCAGCTGCCTTGCTCCAAGCTGGATGACAACATCGTGTGTCCCTGTAACTTGAAGTCCAAGCAGCTAGGAGACCTTTGACTGTCATCGAAGGTTCGAAGAAGGGCACAGCATTTCCACATTTCAGGCATCATGTGAGCTGGGGTCCAAATTACTTGTCTGTGGTAATGGTGAAACTCATTTAGGGTTCCCCGTATCGCTTTGCAGGTCTGGGAGCTTATCGTTTTGGGGCATCGTGTTTGAGGGTGCCGCGTATCGTTTTGCAGTGGTTTTAACACCTCTCCACTCATTGAATAATCAGCCCAACTACTATACAATAACAATGATTTTTACCCCGACTTATGTACTCGTGGCCTTGGGCCCAACACCAGCTTTCATGCCCCTTCCAAGAAGAAGTCGCTCTGCCTGCTTTGTACTCTTTTTGGGTCACTAACATGAAGAAATATCTTGATGTTTGGTAGTGTTCTTATCGCGGAAGAGGTTGGGGCTCATGGTTTGGGGCTTCATCGGCTTAGGCTTGGTTCACTCGGTTCACTCCCCCTAGCCTGCCAATTCAACAACACCCAATTCTGAGAAGACGTGAAGGATGTGGTGGCGCAACTTCAGATGGGTCGAGCTCCAGAAGCAATTAATTATACTGTCTTTCGTCTCCCTCTCGTCCTTTAACCTCTTGCGACCCCAGTACGTCTGGCAGGGTTGCTTGGAGGAGACAGCAGTTGCGTTTCCGTGGAAGTGATTGAGGATTTGCGCCACGCGTGGGTCAAAATCGAAATCTTGTAACACAAGGTATCATGTCGTCAGGGTGTCGAGTGTATCCCAGGACTTTGAGAAACAGCCCAGCTAAAATTCGGGTTAGGCTTCGGACGTCAAGTCGTTTCGGAGATAGAGCTCAATCTGACCTCAACTGGTTGAAGGCTTCGTGACTGGGCTTCAGAAATTAGTTTCCCAACGTACAGGAGAATTGGGGAAGCCATAGACGCAGTCACTTTTTCTTGCCCTGGACCCTGGTTGCTACACCCTAGCCGAGCTCCTCTAGCAGCTCCACCCAAACCCTACATCCTGAACCCCTGCGCCCAAAAACCTACCCTTGAAAGGGCGCCTTGTTGTACCGCTCCCTGCAGAAAAGATGAAAGCAGAGACCTCCCTGCGTGCGGCCTCGGGAAAAACAGTCGATGGGTATCAGCTTGCGGCTTCATTTTGAGGGGTAGAGATGTTAGACTTAGGATTGCAAGATCAAGTATGGTGCGTTTTGAAACTAAAGATGCCCGTGGAAACAGCCCTCTGAAGGGCCGCCGGGCTTGAGAGCTCGGTATAGAAACCTAAACCATTCACCTCCAGTGGATAAAAGCGAGGTCTTATTCAACGCGTCCGATTGCTGCTACGGCACGCTGCAGAAAAAAAAACAAGGTCTGAGCCATGCCCACAAATTGCGATCATTGTAATTGTGTGCCCTTTTTTGAAAGGCTGCTTAGACATTCAGTCTGCTTGCAACCAGAAGCATCCATAGCAGCAGTAAAAGCAGCAGCAGTGTGGTGAACCCTCAACCCTCCCCTCGGCCACCTTCCGGCATTGGAACACGCTACATTTGGTGAGTCTAATTCTACTTACCCGTGGTACGGAGGGACCAGAGCTCATCTCGCTTGCCAGATAGCATAAACTTGAGGGCCGAAAGCACACCAAATTGCTCGGATGCCTAATCAAAAGGCTTCCCAGGTCATCCCTGAACTATATCCCAGATGGTCCCGCTCCCATTCAAAACAACTTCGCATCTGATGACGAACTCGCCTGCGCGACCCGCTCGTTGCTTGGAGGACGCCTGCACAGGCACTGGAGGCCCAGAATCTCATCAGCTTGCGGTTCAAATCCGGCAAGCCAAGGGGGTTAAAACTTTTCGAAGTGTCTCAGAGGTTTCAAAACGAAGATTATCACTGTTACCCCTCCGTTAGTCTTCAGTGCAGAAGTCTCAGAATAAGTGACAGCGTAGGGTGAGGAACCTGACGTACACCTAGAAAGCAGAAGGGATCATCGGGGAGTTCTTGAGGATTGTGTAGTGATTATCTTGAGACATTGGGCTTTGGGTTGGGAGTCGGTTCTTGGGCCTGAGATCCTTGGGATGACAAGTACGAGCGGGGCTGGAACGGTTCCGGGATGTGGGAGGGACCGGTCGTCGTCACACCCTACTGTAAATGGCCCTGACTGGTGTACCCCAACTCACCACTCAGCATTAAACAGGTAACCTAGAGCTGAGGAGCTTGGGGTTGATGCAGCCGGGTCTGCTGTAAGGCCTACTACCAAATGGGATATCATCCGATCGGCTCTTCAGACACAAAAGCCTGAATCCCAACATGTCAGAGGCCACGCTCACATAAGGTGGAATATCTAAGGATTCCAATCAACAAAAACATACCACTTGAACCCATGCCTGTTCTTGCT